GGTGGCGGCGTCTCCCCGGGGCCGGGGACCGCGGGCCGGTGGGGTGCAAGCTTCAGGCTGCGGAGAGCCGGAGCGGGCTGCGAGGCTAGGCCGCGCCCGCGCTGCGATTGTGGGGCCGCAGAGCAGCGCGCGCCTTGCAAAGTCAGGTCAGGACGCCTGGACTGTGTCGTGGGAAGCCGGTGGCCCACGGCGGCCCTCACCTGAGCGGGAGAGGGCCTGGGGAGGGCGTGTGGGTGCAGCAGCCGCGGCCTGGCCTGAGCGGGAGCCCCGCTGCCCTAGGGTGGACGGGCTCCGCAGTCAGCGGTTTTTCCTCTACTTCTGGCTGCCCTTGGCGGCTTTCCCGGGTGACCTGACTGTGCCCCCTCATTTCCTGTTCCCCCCATCAGTGGGGTGGAGCTATAGCCGCCCAGAGGGGGACCTGGCCGCTGGGTACCGCTAGCTCCTTGCCCTAGCCCCCAGCGCTGCTCTGGGCTGGGCCACTTCCCAGCAGGTGGGCAGAGCCGGGACCAGGAGGCTACTTCCTGCCCTGGCCTCTGTCCCTCTGCCTGGAGTGCCTGTCCTTCCCCTCCCTGGTCCTGGTGAATCCGGGGACAGTGGTACTAGAGCTGGTGACACCAAACGGAGGCTGGCTTTTATCGGCAGAGCTTGCCAAGGTGGCGGGGGCACTGGAGGGGCTTCATGCAGTCCTCCCGCTTTTCTGACGGTTTAACATGGTCCTATAATAAAAGTACACAGGGTGGGGCTGGCAGATGGCATAGCGGTCGTCGCTGGACTCCCACATGGGTGACTGCAGGTCGAGTCCCAGACCCAGTAGCTTGAAACTCATGCCAGGTGCCCAAGATCCTGGGAGGAGAATAGAGGAGAAGGGACTGCGGGGAGCCATCCCTCCTGGGGGGTGACTTCTCACTTTGCCTCTCACTGTCTCTGTCTCTCTCTCCTGCAAGCACATGCACCCTAGGGCAAACATCTCTCTCAAAAAATAAAAAAAAGATTTTTCACCTTTTTTTTTTTTGCCAGAGGGTATGTGTACTCACTAGAGAGAGGGAAAACGGGAGAAAGCAACCCCCAGGGGGCGTCACCACAGCCCCTTCTCCCCCTCTTCGAGATTTTGGGCTTTGGGCGTGCATGCATATGCGCCTTGCGTGTTTTACAAGCCCTGGGCACCAACATTTGCACCTCGTCAGCCACTTGGGAGCTAGTCCCTTAACTACTGAGCTATGGGACTGGCCCAGAAACTTTTTCAAACAGCCAAAGAAGGGGACCAGCAGTTGGCATAATGGCTACATCTTTGGACTCCCCTGTGGTTCAAGTCCCGGACCCGGTGGCTTAAACTCACACCGGGCGCATGTGCATGCGTGCCCAAGATCCCAAGAGGAGAATGGAGGAGAAGGGATTGCGGGCGTGGCCATCCCCCCTGGGGGGTGATTTCTCACTTTCTGTCTCTCTCTGTCTTTCTGGCGCCCTATAGCAAAAACCTCTCCAAAAACAAAACAAAGCAAAACAAACAGACAAACAAGCCAAAGAAGGAGCCAGCAGGGGGGGTAGTGGGTAAGGTGCTGGAATCCTACGTGAAGAACTGCAATTCTAGTCCGGGACCTGGAGTCTCGCTTTCTCACTCTCTGGCTCTCGCTGATGAGTGGGCATGCCCTATAGCAAATTTCTTTTTAGAGAGGTTTTCGCTACAGGGTGCACGTGCTCTCTGGCAAGAGGAAGAAAATGAGAAACATCCCCCGGGGAGGACCGTGCGGCAATCCCTTCTCTTCCAGTCTGCTCTCTGGATCTGGGGCATGAATGCACACGCACCCAGTGTGAGCTTTAAGCTGGGACTTAAACCGCAATCAACTAATCGGGAGTCCAGTGACATAATCATTGCACCACCTGCTGGTTCCACCTACAGCCAATTTTAAAAATAAAATAATTGTATATAAAATAGAATAATTTCTTTAAAAAAAAAAAGCCAAAGAAAATAGTTTACCTCCTTTTATTTTTTTAACCAAAGGCTGTGTGCTTGCATTAGACCAGGGCGCGCACTTCCCCGGGGCCAGCCGGGCGTGTGTGGGTGCTGGGTTTCAGTTCCAGATCCAGAGGCTTCGACATCGCCGGACCCTCCCTGCTGCCGCGGGTGCTGGGAGAGTCAGCTGGGGCGGGACCCAGGACTGCGCCTGGCCCCGTGGAGCTTCGCAGAGCTCCACTCGAGAGGCCGAGGCTGGACACGGCACTGCTGGCTGTGAGGCCTCTCTGGGCCCTGTCTTCTGTGAAGAAGAGGGCTGGCGCCACAAGGGTGTGTGGCCCTCTGCGTGGACAGCCTGTCGGGAGAGACCTTCGGTGGCCCAGCACGCCCTCGGGTCGGCCTCCCTGCTGGGGCCGCTGGCCTCGCAGTGTGCCCAGGTGCGGCGCTGGGTGACGTTGAGAAGGGCACTGTGACTTCAGCCCGAGACCGGACGCCAGCTGCTCATCTGCCTCTGAGGGCGCCTCCAGGCCCCCTGGGACCCTCACCTGCACCCAGAGAGGCAGCTCGCCTCCCGGGGCGACACCACCTCTGTCACCTCACACAGCAGCACGTGGTCCAGGGGAGGCGACACTGCCTCCCGCAGTGGAAGAGCAGCTGGAGGCGAGCACTGCGGGACAGGGCAGCCCCCAGTGGAGCACCCGTCCCCTCAGCCCTGCTGCCCAGTCCCGGTCCTGCTCTCGGCATGGCCCTGTTCATGACTGCCACGAACGAAGGGGGCTGGGAGTCGCAGGGCACACCTGGTCGTGGGCCCCAGCTCAGGGCCAGGGCCGCGTCGGCCCACGCCTG